CGGGAAGTCCTCGTGTCGTACCCATTTCTGCCTGCTCCCGTGCCCGGAGGGGGCAGTGGGAAAAAGAAAGGAGGATTCTTCTCCGAACCGCCCGGGCGGCGATGTCGCGCCGCTCTGCGGAGGGCCGCTCTCTGCATAGGACGCCACGGAGCGCGACTACGTATGGGCGTCCATTCCGCCCCCAGCGAGATGGCGAGCCTCTTGCGGGCACGACCGCGGATGTGACTATAAAGAGGGGAGCTGCCTCGGGGGAGGAGTGGGAAGCGGACCGCGGACAGGACTGCACGTGGTACGATCATACCTTGGCTACTACGCCGGATCCCATCAGAACTCCGCAGCGTAGCGCCAGTGGGCGAGAGCAGTACTGGGCAGGGTGACCTCCCGGGAAGTCCTCGTGTCGTACCCATTTCTGCCTGCTCCCGTGCCCGGGAGGGGGCAGTGGGAAAAAGAAAGGAGGATTCTTCTCCGAACCGCCCGGGCGGCGATGTCGCGCCGCTCTGCGGAGGGCCGCTCTCTGCATAGGACGCCACGGAGCGCGACTACGTATGGGCGTCCATTCCGCCCCCAGCGAGATGGCGAGCCTCTTGCGGGCACGTTCGCGGATGTGACAATAAAGAGGGGAGCTGCCTCGGGGGAGGAGTGGGAAGCGGACCGCGGACAGGATTGCACGTGGTACGATCATACCTTGGCTACTACGCCGGATCCCATCAGAACTCCGCAGCGTAGCGCCAGTAGGCGAGAGCAGTACTGGGCAGGGTGACCTCCCGGGAAGTCCTCGTGTCGTACCCATTTCTGCCTGCTCCCGTGCCCGGGAGGGGGCAGTGGGAAAAAGAAAGGAGGATTCTTCTCCGAACCGCCCGGGCGGCGATGTCGCGCCGCTCTGCGGAGGGCCGCTCTCTGCATAGGACGCCACGGAGCGCGACTACGTATGGGCGTCCATTCCGCCCCCAGCGAGATGGCGAGCCTCTTGCGGGCACGTTCGCGGATGTGACTATAAAGAGGGGAGCTGCCTCGGGGGAGGAGTGGGAAGCGGACCGCGGACAGGATTGCACGTGGTACGATCATACCTTGGCTACTACGCCGGATCCCATCAGAACTCCGCAGCGTAGCGCCAGTGGGCGAGAGCAGTACTGGGCAGGGTGACCTCCCGGGAAGTCCTCGTGTCGTACCCATTTCTGCCTGCTCCCGTGCCCGGGAGGGGGCAGTGGGAAAAAGAAAGGAGGATTCTTCTCCGAACCGCCCGGGCGGCGATGTCGCGCCGCTCTGCGGAGGGCCGCTCTCTGCATAGGACGCCACGGAGCGCGACTACGTATGGGCGTCCATTCCGCCCCCAGCGAGATGGCGAGCCTCTTGCGGGCACGACCGCGGATGTGACTATAAAGAGGGGAGCTGCATCGGGGGAGGAGTGGGAAGCGGACCGCGGACAGGACTGCACGTGGTACGATCATACCTTGGCTACTACGCCGGATCCCATCAGAACTCCGCAGCGTAGCGCCAGTGGGCGAGAGCAGTACTGGGCAGGGTGACCTCCCGGGAAGTCCTCGTGTCGTACCCATTTCTGCCTGCTCCCGTGCCCGGGAGGGGGCAGTGGGAAAAAGAAAGGAGGATTCTTCTCCGAACCGCCCGGGCGGCGATGTCGCGCCGCTCTGCGGAGGGCCGCTCTCTGCATAGGACGCCACGGAGCGCGACTACGTATGGGCGTCCATTCCGCCCCCAGCGAGATGGCGAGCCTCTTGCGGGCACGTTCGCGGATGTGACATAAAGAGGGGAGCTGCCTCGGGGGAGGAGTGGGAAGCGGACCGCGGACAGGACTGCACGTGGTACGATCATACCTTGGCTACTACGCCGGATCCCATCAGAACTCCGCAGCTAAGCGCCAGTGGGCGAGAGCAGTTATTTTATTAATAACAAAGAGAGTTACAAGTCATATAGCCAATATGAAACCGAAGTTGGAAATTTCGGCATGAATGTTACGCTATACGACCACAGTAATGTTTTTGGAAGTTAGGAAGAGAAGGGAAAGAAGAGAAGAGAAAGTAGAGAGAAAAGAAGAGAAGGGAAGGTAGAAAGAGAGGGAAAGAAAGAGAAGGATAGAAGAAGTAGGAGGATCAAGAAAGATAAGAGTAAGGGAAAAGAAAGGGGGAGGTGAGAGAGGTGGAAGAGAGGAGGGGTGTGACTGTAAGGAGGGAGGGGTCCAAGGGACACGACAAAGCAGCAACCCGCGCCTACAGCGCAGACACACAGCGTTTTCAAGCACAGCCTACTCTTGTTTTCATCTACACATAGCCATCAAACAGGTACTGCATATCGGCCACACTGTCAAAGCAGCCACTGATGTGATGTCCGCTCCAGCTGCCTGCGCCAAGCGGTACCGGTATCGGCATCCATGCATCGTCCGACTCTCCCAGCTGTCGCACTGCATGCTGTGTGATAATGTTCGCCTGCGCACGCTGCAGCGCCACTGAAACCCGCGTGGTGAGAGCGCACTCAAAGATCCGCGCCGATGCCTCCTCCCCACTACCCTGCGTCCCGCCGCTGCGTCGCTATGCCGCTGTGAGCAGAGCCCCAGAAAAATCTCGCAGTGGCACGCTCAAGTGCCCGAAAGTCTCAGCAACGCACGCATAGAACATCGCTCCGGCTGCACTCCTACCAAGGCCGACCGCCAGTCCCTGATCTTCTCCTGCACCCGCCTCGTCGCCGCCACCCCCCGCTGTGTGGATGCCGCTCGCCGAAACTGTGCGTTCCCACCCCGCTGTGGATCCGCTATCGACACGTCTATAATAATCATGAGTGCCTTCTCAGCGTCGCGGCATGTGAGGTCGGGGATGCGTGCGGGTGCTCCTGCCGGCGCCTGCGCGTCCGGCTGTGCTGTGCTGCAGTGTGGGCTGCTGCCTAGTCGTGTCCTGTGGTCCCCCTCCTCCTTGTGCCATTGTCCCCCCCTCATCCTCCTCTCTCACCCTCCCTTCCCTTCCCTTGCCCCTACCCCTCCCAACCCCCCTGCCTCTCCTATCCCCTCCCCCAGACCCTCTCCATCTACCTGCCCCGCTCCTCCCGTCCTCCCCACTCCCTCGCCCCCCCCGTCCCCCCTGCTATCCCCCTCCCCGTGCCACTCTCTCGCCCTCCTGTGCCCCTGTCCCCTGGCGGGGATCAAGCTCCACACCCCCTCTGGCCCCTCTAGCTGCCTCTGGCCCGTCCCGTGCTCGGTCCCCTGCTATCTGACCCCCTCCCTCGACCATGACTATCTCCTCGATCTCCTCCCCCCCACCACCCTGTGGTCGGGCTGCCCCCCCCTCTCCCTGCGGTACCCCTGAGTCCTTTCCCCCCGAGCCCCATCCGCCCTTCCCCCTTCCTGAGCCCCCCGTCTCCCTCGCCCCAGGCGCCTCCCCTGGCCCTCCCTCAGCTGCGGCTGCTGCGGCTGTACCGTCCACCGTGTGAAACGGGCTGTCCCTGTGGCCGTGGCCCCTGTCCAAGGACTCCCGCCTCTGTCCCCCGCGTCTGCGGCACCAGCCGTGCCTGCTGTCCCGACTGTCCCCGGCAGTCCCCACACTCCCTGCTGTCCCTGGTGCTCCCCCCCCTCCCTCGTGTCCCTCCCCCCCACCCCTGCTGCCCCTCCCCCCCTCCTTGCTGTCCCTCCCCCCACCCTGCTGTCCCCTCCCCCCCTCCCTGCTGTCCCTCCCCCCTCCCTGCTGTCCCTCCCCCCCTCCCTGCCGTCCCTCCTCCCCTCCCTGGGCCCTCTGTGCCCCCCGTCCTGTCCGAGTCCGTCCCTGTGCCAGCGTAGGCCCTCCCGCCTGTGCCCCCTCCCGCTGCCGCTGGGCTGTCAAGCGCCGTCGCACCTCCTCCAGGTGTGGGATGAGCGCCGTGTCCTCCACCCTGACCGCGAAACCCGCCTCGCGCGCGATGTCGCGAAGGACGTACTTCACGGCGTTGTGGACGGTCGTGGTGACGTGGTAGTGCTGACAGCGTACGACGTGGTGGGGCACCGACATGTCCTCGATCTCCCGTCCGCACGAGCAATGACCTGTAAGGGCTAACTGGGGGATAGACAGACCAAGGCGAAAACATGAAGCCACCTGCCACTGCGCCTCCGGGATGCGCAGTGGATCTGCATAAGGGACCGCCGTGAGCCACGCGCCTGCATCTGCGCCCTGAAGGGATGTCAAACGGGCAAGATGCAAAGGGTCAGTGTGACGTCCACGAACGGACTCTAATGCCGCCGCCTCTAGGTGCCGACTCACCTCAGAAAACAGACCGTCCGGCGCGCTCGAGATGCAAGAGGACAGGGGTGGCAGCAAGGCCCGGACTGACGGTGGAAGGTCTGCCAAAGCCCGTCGCGATGTGGGATCGATCCCTGCGGGGTCCTCCGCCGCGAGCGCCCGTCTGAAGGACTCACCGATCTGTGGGAGGGAGCAGAGGATGGGGGCGCACTGCGCCCAGGAGCAGAGGTAGCTCGCTGGCGCCGCGCGCGCCATGCGGCGGATGCCGAATCCGCCCAGCCTAATGGGCAGAAATGCCTGGTCCAAGGCCGCGCCGCGTATCTCTCCTCCTCCGCTCCAGGTGCCCGCGACGAATAGCCGCTGGAAGGCCTCGCCGAGGCCATCGTCCCAGCGCGCGAAGATGGAGCGCACCGCCTGTGTGGGCGGGACCGTGCGCGCTAGGTACTGAGGGCGCGTGCTGACGCATGCTGAGAGCAGGTGCGCAGCCACCTGGGGGTCACGCAACCTAGGCAGCCACCGGCAGCACTCGGGCCATCCGCTCCAGGCGCTCCCTGAGTCTCGTGTGGACGAAATCCTCCGTGCCGACAGGCACCCCCGCAACCGTCAAACCCCGGCGCGCGACATCGAGGCCGAGGGCGGTGAAGCCTGCCAACTCCTCCGGTCGTGTGGACGCCGCTGGGTAGACCAGGCACTTGTGCGGCTGGACCGAGAGGCCCAGCTCGCCCAAGCGCCTCTGAATGGCAGTGAAGCTCTGCAACACCCTCTCTGGTGTGCCCAGGACGTACGTGTCATCCGGCGTATGACCACAGCTGCACGTCCCCGTCCGCCAGCACTGGCTCCAGTGCCAGCCTCTGTGTCAGGGGCAAAGAGAAATGGGCTCAGAGGGTCGCCCTGACGAGATCCTCGCTCTGAGCGGAATGGTGGTGACTCCTCGCCCGGTCCGAAAGAACAGCGAGGATGGCGTGCCGTAGAAAAGGGCAACGAAAGGGATGAGGCAGCGAAACTCGGAGCTCGCTCGCAGTGCCTCGAACAAGCGATCGCGGTGATACGAGTTAAAGGCGTTCGCCACGTCGAGCTCGACGACCACCCAGTCCGGGTGGTCCGCCCTGCCGCGACGGACGCCCCTAACGACCAGCTCAGTACCGCAGGTCACCCCGACCCCGAACTGCTGTGATGGTAGAAAGACTCGAGCCATCGGCTCGCGCAACTGCAGGCATGCCGCCCGCTGGAGTAGGCGCGCAAGGACCTCCGCCTATGGCTATTCGGCCGAACGTCCATGTTCGGCTTGGAGAGCGCGACGAGGGTGGATGATGCCAGCATGGGAAGTGCGGCCGGGGCGCAGTCGCCCCGGAGCCACTGCTGGTAGACAGCAAGCAAGGTAGGGAGGGCCTTCGGGAAGGCCAAGAAGGTGTCGCGGAAGTGCTCGGCCACCCATCCCGAAGGTCCTCCCGAAGAGCCCCTCGGAGCGGTGAAAATGGCCCTGCGCAGATGCTCAATGCTCAGGACCAGGGCTGCATCCCGGAAGGAGGCCACCCATGCTGGGATGGGGCGCTCCGCGCAAGGGTGCTTCGCCCGTAGGCGGTGCACCGTCTGATCTCCGTCCGGGGCCGCCTCTGCCGACTCCAAGGCCGCACAAGCACGTGACGTCTCATTGCACGCTGCCAGGCGGAGGCAACGGCAATGCGGCGCTCGTCAGGCGTCGGAGTCGCGGCGCGGGCGCGGCGTGTCGTGCATGCCGCGAGGGGTGTGCGGCGGTGGAGCGCCTCTGCTATGAGGGCGTCCCAATCTCCACCAAGGAAGCGCGCAATGCGCCGCAGTGATGGCCGCCGTATGTGATCCCGTGCAGGTGGTGTACGCGGGCCGTGAGGAGGAGGGTCGGGATGGCCAACAGCAGAAACGTCGGCCCCGCCCGCCCTGGGGTGCTGGCTGATGCGCTGCAAGATCGCGCAGAGGACATCCACGTACCCCCGCGAACCCTCGGCGGGATACGCCGGAGCGGGCGAGCATGGCATGCGTCTCGGTGAGAAATAATCCGTCCAATCGACCGCATCCCAAGGACGAACCACTGGACGTCCGAGAATGTGACGACGGAGGCGCGTGGCTCGCTGAATGAGGGAGGGGAAGAGGTGGCATCCTGCAGGGCCTCCCGCCCTGCGTAGAGCATCGGCGGGCTGGCAATGGGGTGCATGGAGAGCAAGAGCGTGGCTGCTCACCAAGGTGCTCCGGCAGGTAGGACACGTGACCGCTAGTCCTCCTGTCGGCACCGCTGTGTCGTGCGGGGGGACTGGCATCGTGCTCTCCGAGCTATCAGCGCCGACGACCGCCTCTTCGATGGGCCCCTGTCCGAGGTCGGTGGCCCAAGTGGGGGGCGGGCCGTGCGTCTGGGGCGGGCAAGGCAATGGCCGGGGGGGAGGAGCGACGGCGGGATGCGCGGGCGTGGGTGAGGATGGTACGACCAAGGGGACAGTGGCTAGGGCGGGGCATGCGTCTGGATGGCAGGCTAGCTCAGTGGCCTCGCCGGGGGACGTAGGAGCTGGGGTGTGGGCAGCTGGAGCAGTGGATGCGTCTGGGCAGAGGGGGTGGTCGGGGGCCGCGTCGGAGTCATCGATCACCATGCGCTCCGGTGTGAGGGCGGTGGACGGGGGGGAAGGGGGGCATGGGAGATGTCTGGAGCAGGGTCCACGGTGCCCCCCCACCCGACCCGGACAAGCGGGCGCAGAGGGGGTGGCGGACGCGTCCCATATCCTGAGAAGGTCGGCAACTGCCGCCTCCGTCTCCCCATCTGCCCCCTGCGACTGTCCGCCTGTGGGTAGGGGGAGCAGGGCAGGCTGGTTGGTCGTGGTGGGCGAACCACCGTGGGACCTGGCCTGGGTCGGAGGTTGTGGACCGGAGGGGGACAAAGAAGCGGGTGGTGGGGACCGACGCTGGGGGGGATATAGGCTTGCTTGCGAGAGGCTAACGACCCTCTTCCACCGCCGGTTCGATTTCCATCGCGGATGGGGCATCGGCGGCGACTGTCTGGTGGGGGCCAGGGCGGGATGGGGGGGTGACAGGGGAGTGGGCCTGGGTGGTGAGGAGGGAGGGAGACCGTCCGAAGCTCGCCATCCTGGTTATGGGAGGGCAGTGGGTGGCGGGCCGGGGGCAATGATGGGGTCGCCTGAGGGGTGGTGGCTGGTAAGGGCTGCACGCCAGCAGAGGGTGGAGTCGTGTCCGGCTGCTCCGAGCGCCGGGCTGCCCCGGGTGTCCCCTTGCCCTTGCCCTTCTTCCGGCGACCTGTGTGGGGTTGGGCAAACTGTCCAATCAGTGGCTGCCGTGTGACCGCCCCCTGCTGTGGGTGAGGAGTGTGAGAATGGGGCAGCTGGGAGGGTGAGGGGGTGTGGCCGCCGATGGCCGCTGCCGCGATGGGCTAGCCTGCGCATGGATGGCGGCCTGCCCTGGGGCGGGTGCAGATGGGGACAGGGGGAGAAAGTGAGGGGTGGTGGCGGTGGTGGAATCGGCAGCACCGTCCGATGCCCCGCCCTCCCCCGACACCTTCCCCGTCCCCTTCCCCCTGGGCGTCTGCCGATATCGCTGCCTGTGCGGAGCGACGGTAAGGGGGGATGTAGGGTTGGGAGGAGACATCATGCAGGTCCCCTACTCCTGTTTTGTCGACGTCCATCGCGGATGGGTGGCTCGCTGCGACCACCTGAATACTGACGGGCAAGGAGTGTGTGGGGCAGGAAGGGGGAGGGTGAGATGGGGGGCCGCCCTCGCCTCGCCCCTGTTCGCGCTGATGGGCCGGGCGGGAGTGGGGGGCAGGGCAAGAGAGGTGGTTGGGCAGTAGGGTAAGGGTTAAGCGTGGGTGGGACGCTCAATGGAGGGGGTGGGAAGGGTGGGTGCCCCAGCGCTGGGCTGGAGGGTGTGTGAGACGGAAGTGACAAGGGAGGGCCCAAGAGGGAGGCACTCCCGTGGTCGCCTGCCGTGCGGGACATGAAACCTGGGGGCTGCACGAAAGGGCGCGAGGGGAGTTCCGGCTGGATTGCCGGGGAAAGGGGGCGGGTGGGATGTGTGGGAGAGGGAGGGGGGGGCGGGACGCGGGCAAGGTAGGGCCCACGGCCTGGAAGGGAAGCAGAGTGGGCGCCGAGGGACCCCCGCCTTGCCCGAAGCTTAGCTGTGGGGCTTGGGAAGTGGGATCAGCCGGGGTGAGACGGCGAGGGCCGAGAGGGAGTTGATTCGGGTTGCTCCCCCTTGCCGGGGGTGCACCCCGCTCACCGTTCCTATGGGAAGCGCCCATGTGGCCGACAGGGTGTGTGCCCTGTGCCGGGCGGGAGGCACCTGGGGTGGAACAGGGTTGGGGGCGGACTGACGAGGGGGGTTGGGCAAGAGCCGCCCCTCCTTGTGCTACCCAGGTCGAGGCGTCCGGCGCGACAGCCTGCGTGGGTGGGGAGGGGGAGGGAGCAACCTGCCCGGCTGTTGTTTGTGCTCCTGGCGCCGGCGCGAGGGCTGATGAGGGAGAGCATGGAAGGGTTGAGTCGACCAAGATATATCCGGCGAGCGGGCCATCATTGTCCGAGCCATCCTCGGCGGCCGCCTCGTGGGGCACACTCGGCTGTAAGGGGAGGGTGTGGGGGGAGAGGGAGTGGTGAGACTGCGTCCCGATCATTGGCTCGGGTGTACAGGGGTCCGCCAAAAACGCCAAGGCTCGGGCCGCCCCGCCCATAGCCCTGGGTTGTAGCCCACGGCGAGGGCCCTGCGCCGCTGGTGAAGCCCCTGCTAAGCGCCAGTGGGCGAGAGCAGTTCTGGGCAGGGTGACCTCCCGGGAAGTCCTCGTGTCGTACCCATTTCTGCCTGCTCCCGTGCCCGGGAGGGGGCAGTGGGAAAAAGAAAGGAGGATTCTTCTCCGAACCGCCCGGGCGGCGATGTCGCGCCGCTCTGCGGAGGGCCGCTCTCTGCATAGGACGCCACGGAGCGCGACTACGTATGGGCGTCCATTCCGCCCCCAGCGAGATGGCGAGCCTCTTGCGGGCACGACCGCGGATGTGACTATAAAGAGGGGAGCTGCCTCGGGGGAGGAGTGGGAAGCGGACCGCGGACAGGACTGCACGTGGTACGATCATACCTTGGCTACTACGCCGGATCCCATCAGAACTCCGCAGCGTAGCGCCAGTGGGCGAGAGCAGTACTGGGCAGGGTGACCTCCCGGGAAGTCCTCGTGTCGTACCCATTTCTGCCTGCTCCCGTGCCCGGGAGGGGGCAGTGGGAAAAAGAAAGGAGGATTCTTCTCCGAACCGCCCGGGCGGCGATGTCGCGCCGCTCTGCGGAGGGCCGCTCTCTGCATAGGACGCCACGGAGCGCGACTACGTATGGGCGTCCATTCCGCCCCCAGCGAGATGGCGAGCCTCTTGCGGGCACGTTCGCGGATGTGACTATAAAGAGGGGAGCTGCCTCGGGGAGGAGTGGGAAGCGGACCGCGGACAGGATTGCACGTGGTACGATCATACCTTGGCTACTACGCCGGATCCCATCAGAACTCCGCAGCGTAGCGCCAGTGGGCGAGAGCAGTTCTGGGCAGGGTGACCTCCCGGGGAAGTCCTCGTGTCGTACCCATTTGTTATGCCAGCTCTCTTGCGGGGGGTGGACAGGGGAAAGAAGAAAAGATATTTTTTGCCCCAAACTGCCCGGGAAAAAAAAAAAAACAAAAAAAAAAAACGCCATCCTGAAGGGGTCGGCCACGGAGGAGCCCTCAAACCATCTTAGCGGCGTTCCGGGGGTGCGGGCGGACAGAGGATCCCTTTTGGCTCGTGCCGGGGCAATGTGACTATAATGAAGGGTAGTGTAGCTCGGGGGCCACCCGGTAGTGAGCGCCCCGCGCACTCAGCGTGGTACGATCATACCTTGGCTACTACGCCGGATCCCATCAGAACTCCGAAGCTAAGCGCCAGTGGGCGAGAGCAGTTATTTCATTAAAAATGAAGAGGGTTACAAGTCATATAGCAATTCTAAAGCCAAAGATGAGATTTTCGGCATGAGCGTTGCGCTATTATGACATAGTAGCGTTTAGAGGTATAGAAGAGAAAAAGAGAGAGAGAAGAGATAGAGAAGGAAAGAAAGAGAAGATAGTGGAAGGAAGAAGGTAGCAGAAAGAGTGGGGGAGAAGAGAGCGAGAAAGAGGAGAGAAAGAGAAGAGGGGAAGAGGGGAGGGGGGGTGTGACTATATCAAAGGGACATCCTGGGACCTAACAAAACAACAGCCCACGCGCACAGCGCGGGCACAGCGTCTCAAGCACGGCCTATATATGTTTTTCTACACATATGCATCATACATGTACTGCATATCTGCTGCACTCTCGAAGCACCCTGTGATGTGGTGCCAACTCCCCTGCCCAGCGCCCAAAGGTACAGGCGCTGGCATCCATCCATTGTCGGAGCCGCCCAGCTGCCGCACTGCATGCTGCATGATCACATTTGCCTGCGCGCGCTGCAGTGCCACGGAGAGACGCGTAGTGAGGCTCGTCTCAAAAATCCGTGCCGACCCGTCATCCCCTGCCCCTGAATCTCTCCTCCGCCGTGCTGTCCGCGATGCACACAGCCCTAGGAACTGCCGCAGTGGCTCACTCAGGCACCCAAAAGTCTCCACTACGCAGGCGTAAAACTCTGGATCCAGCTGCAACCCCTGTAACACCGGCCTCCAGTGTCGCAGCTTGTCCTGCACCCGCCTAGCTGCTGCGCCGCCAATCTGAGTGGGTGCCATCCGCTTGAACTGCGCATTCCCCTCCCGCTGTGGGTCTGCCACCGAGACGTCTACAATCACCATCAATGCATCTCGCGGCGCCCTGCAAGTGAGGTCGGGAATGCGGGCGGGTGCCCCTATGCGGCCTGTGCGAGCGGCTGGCGTCTGCTGCTGCTGCGCGGGCTGCTGCTCTGTCTGGTCCCCTGATGCCCCCCTCTGGTCGTCGTGGTCCCCCTCCCAACTCCCCCTCTCACCCTCCCTCTCCTCCCTCCCGCTCTCCCCTCCCCCACTCCCCCTGCCACCCCCGCCCCTTCCGCCATCTCCTCTCTCCCTCCCGCCCCCCCTCCCCTCCCGCCCTCCGTCCCTCCTATACCCCCGCCTACTACCGACCCCTCTAGCCCACCCTCGCCTGTCCTCCCCTCTGCTTGCGCCTCTCCTACCGCCTCGCGCGCGAAACGCACACGCCTCGGTGGTGCCCTGCCCAAGAGCCCGTCCCCTGTCCCCTGCTGCTGTCCTGCCTGGGCCCCCTGCTGCGGCCCTGCCTGAGCTCCCTGCGGCAGCTGTACCTGCCCCTCTCCCCCCGCGCGCCGCTGCTGCCCCTCTCCGCCACCCTGCCGCTGCTGCTGCTGCTCCTCCTCCCGCCGGCTCTCCCCCGTGCCCTGCTGCTGCTGCTGCTGCTGCTGCTGCTGCGGCTGCTGCTGCTGCTGCTGCTGCTGCTGCTGCTGCTGCTGCTGCTGCTGCTGCTGCTGCTGCTGCTGCTGCTGCTGATCCTCCCTGCCGAACCGCCGCTGCTGCCCCTCCTGCTCCTCCTCCGCCCCCTGCCTCTCTCCCTCCTCACCCGCCTGCCTCTCCCCCCCTCCTGATCCCGCCGCTGCTGCCGTCCTGTCTGTCCTGCCCGCTCCTGCCCCTGCCCCTCCCCCGCGTGCAAAACCTGCAGTCGAGCTCGCGCCGCCTCCAGGTGCGGAATGAGCGCCGTGTCCTCCACCTGGACAGCGAAGCCGGCCTCGTCTGCGAAGTCACGAAGCATGAACTTCACTGTGTCGTGGATGGTCGTGGCGACCGCGAAGCGCGCGCACCTCACCGCGTGATGCGGCACCGACATGTCAGCGATCTCCTCTCCGCACGAGCACTGACCTGCCAGGACTAACTGGGGAATGGGGAGACCGAGACGAAAGCATGAAGCCACCTGCCACTGCGCCTCCGGAATGCGCAGGGAGTCCGCGTAGGGCACCGCCGTAAGCCAAGCTCCCGCACCTGGACCCTGAAGGGATGTCAAACGGGCAAGATGCAGGGGATCAGTATGACGGGCACGTACCGACTCCAAAGCGTGCGCCTCGATGTGTCTGCTGGCCTCTCTGAAAAGGCCGTCCGGTGCTCCTGTCGCGCAAGAAGGCCAGGCCGGCATGAGGCGTAGGACGTCCGCCGGCAGGGCCTCCTGAGCCATCATGATGTGCGGATCGATCTGGGCGGGCTCACCTGATGCGAAGCTCTGACGGAAGCCCTCCCCCACCGACGGCAACGAGCAGAGAATCGGTGCGCACTGCGCCCACGAACAGAGATAACTCACCGGGGCGATGCGCTCCATGCGTCGGATGCCGAAGCCCCCGATGCGAATCGGGAGGAAAGCCTGCTCCAGGGCTGCCTCACAGATCGCGTCCCCCTCCCTCCACGTACCTCGCACCAGGAGCTGCTGGAAGGTCGCTCCCAAGCGCGCGTCCCACGCTGCAAAGATGGCACGTACCTCTGGTAATGGGGGGACTGTCCGCGCCAAGTACTGCGGACGTGTGCTGACACACGCGGAGAGCAGGCGCGCCGCTGTCTGTGGCTGCCGCAGCCTCGGGAGCCACGGCAGCACCCCGGCCATCCTCTCCAGTCGGTCCCGCAGGCTGGTCGTCACAAAGGTCTCGGTGCCAACCGGGACGCCCGTCACGGTGAGCCCCCGGCGTGCGACCTCGATGCCCAGACCGGTGAAAGCCTGCACGTCGCGAGGCAGGATCACCGACGTGTGATGGACAAGGCACTTGTGCGGCTGGACAGCAAGGCCCAACCCGCCCAAGCGCCTCACGACCTCCGTGAAGTGGTGCAGCACCCTGTCCGGAGGGCCCACGAGGTAGGTGTCGTCGGCGTACGACCAGAGCTGGACGTCACCCCCTGCCAGGACGGGCTCCAGGGCAAGGCGCTGCGTGAGGGCGTAGAGAAACGGGCTCAGCGGGTCTCCCTGCCGAGTGCCGCGCTCCGAGTGCATCGTGGTGACTCCCCTGCCGGTCCGATAGAGCAGATCGGACGGCGTGCCGTAGAAAAGACGGATGAAAGGAATGAGGCACCTGAACTCAGGACTGGCATGCAGTGCCTGGAACAAGACGTCGCGAAAGAAAGAGTTAAAGGCGTTGGCCACGTCCAGCTGCAGAACCACCCAGCCTGGGTGGTCAGCTAGAGCGCGGACAACGCCTCTAACGGTGACCTCTGTGCCACACGTGACCCCGACTCCGAACTGCTGTGACGCGAGGAACACTCTCGCCATCTGGTCGCGGAGCTGGAGGCAGACTGCGCGGGAGAGGACGCGCACGAGCACCTCTCCAATGGCGATCGGCCGCACGTCCCCGTTCGGCTTCGCGAGAGCCACAAGGGTGGACGAGGCCAAAAGAGAACGCGCAGCTGAGGGGCAGCGTCCTCCGAGCCAGAGCTGGTACACAGACAGCAAGGAGGGTAGGGTCTGTGGGAATGCCAAGTAGGTGTCACGGAGGTGTTCTGCCACCCATCCGGTCGGTCCCCCCGACGAGCCCCGCGGTGCAGTGAAAATGGCCTGGCGCAAGTGGGTGGCAGAGAGCACGAGGCCGTCCTCGTGGAAGGTGGAGAGCCACTCCGGTAGAGGGCGCTCCGCGCTAGGGTGCTTAGCCCGTAGGCTATGCACCGTGCGATCCGTGTCTGGAGCCGCCTCGGCCGACTCCAGTGCCGCGCACGCACGAGATGTCTCGTTGCACGCTGCCAAGCGCAGGCAACGCGCAATCCGACGCTCGTCTCCCGACGTGGTGGTGACGGGGGTGCGACGTGATGTGCGGGTGGGCAGGGGCGTGCGACGACGCAGCGCGTCGGAGAAGAGAGAGTCCCACTCACCTCGGAAGAAGCGCGCGACGCGAGCCGCGATGGAAGCTGTGTGGCCCCGCTCTGGTGGAGTAGCTGGCGCTAAGAACAGCGTCGGCACCGCCGTGAACAAGAAGTGGGGCCCGTCGGCATCCGGATACTGCTCCATACGGGCGGTGATCGCGCGGAGGACATCAGAGATGCCTCCGCGGACCCTCGGCGGAATGCGCCGGAGCGGGCGAGCATGCGTCCGGGACGGAGAGAAATACTCCCTCCAATCCACAGAGTCCAGCTGCGCCCACTGCGCGTCGGAAAAGACCGGGACAGATGAACCCGGGCGTGAGAGTGACCCGCCGACCGAGGCGGCCTCCTGGCGGGCCTGCACACGGCGTGCCTCATCGCTCGGGGTGCAGTGAGGTGTGTGGTGGCGGAGAGCTCTATCGTCCGCCATGAGGTTCAGACACGTGGGACATCTCACCTCATGGGCTGGCGTGGACTCGTCCGCGTGATCGGTGTGGGCGGTATCGTCAGAGCTCGCGGTGGAGGCGGCCGGCTCGACGACCGGGTCCGGTCGATAGTCGCCCGCCCTCGGGGAAGGAGGCTCACCTGCCACCTGGGGTCGGACGGGGGTCAGCGGCGGCGGCGATGTCGAAAGAGGGGGAGGGATCGGCGGGGGCCCGAGGGCCTAGGTGCGGCCCCTGCATCCTGGGGGGAGGGGAGCGGGTGGTCGGGGGCCGCGTCGGAGTCATCGATCACCATGCGCTCCGGTGTGAGGGCGGTGGACGGGGGGGAAGGGGGGGCATGGGAGATGTCTGGGGCAGAGTCCACGGTGCCCCCCCCCACCCGACCCGGACAAGCGGGCGCAGAGGGGGTGGCGGACGTGTCCCATATCCTGAGAAGGTCGGCAACTGCCGCCTCCGTCTCCCCATCTGCCCCCTGCGACTGTCCGCCTGTGGGTAGGGGGAGCAGGGCAGGCTGGTTGGTCGTGGTGGGCGAACCACCGTGGGCCCTGACCTGGGTCGGAGGTTGTGGACCGGAGGGGGACAAAGAGGCGGGTGGTAGGGACCGACGCTGGGGGGGGATATAGGCTTGCTTGCGAGAGGCTAACGACACCTCTTCCGCCTCCGGTTCGATTTCCATCGCGGATGGGGCATCGGCGGCGACCGTCTGGTGGGGGGCCAATGGCGGGATGGGTGGGTGACAGGGGAGTGGGGCCTGGGTGGGGTGAGGGAGGGAGACCGTCCGAAGCTCGCCATCCTGGTTATGGGAGGGCAGTGGGTGGCGGGCCGGGGGCAATGATGGGGTCGCCTGAGGGGTGGTGGATGGTAAGGGCTGCACGCCAGCAGAGGGTGGAGTCGTGTCCGGCTGCTCCGAGCGCCGGGCTGCCCCGGGTGTCCCCGTGCCCTTGCCCTTCTTCCGGCGACCTGTGTGGGGTTGGGCAAACTGTCCAATCAGCGGCTGCCGTGTGACCGCCCCCTGCTGTGGGTGAGGAGTGTGAGAATGGGGCAGCTGGGAGGGTGAGGGGGTGTGGCCGCCGATGGCCGCTTGCCGCGATGGGCTAGCCTGCGCATGGATGGCGGCTTGCCCTGGGGCGGGTGCAGATGGGGACAGGGGGGGAAAGTGAGGGGTGGTGGCGGTGGTGGAATCGGCAGCACCATCCGCAATGCCCCGCCCTCCCCCGACACCTTCCCCGTCCCCTTCCCCCTGGGCGTCTGCCGACATCGCTGCCTGTGCGGAGCGACGGAAAGGGGGGATGTAGGGTTGGGAGGAGACATCATGCAGGTCCCCTACTCCTATTTTGTCGACGTCCATCGCGGATGGGTGGCTCGCTGCGACCACCTGAATACTGACGGGCAAGGAGTGTGTGGGGCAGGAAGGGGGAGGGTGAGATGGGGGGGCCGCCCTCGCCTCGCCCCTGTTCGCGCTGATGGGCCGGGCGGGAGTGGGGGGGCAGGGCAAGAGAGGTGGTTGGGCAGCAGGGTAAGGGTTAAGCGTGGGTGGGACGCTCAATGGAGGGGGTGGGAAGGGTGGGTGCCCCAGCGCTGGGCTGGAGGGTGTGTGAGACGGAAGTGACAAGGGAGGGCCCAAGAGGGAGGCACTCCCGTGGTCGCCTGCCGTGCGGGACATGAAACCTGGGGGCTGCACGAAAGGGCGCGAGGGGAGTTCCGGCTGGATTGCCGGGGAAAGGGGGCGGGTGGGATGTGTGGGAGAGGGAGGGGGGGGCGGGGCGCGGGCAAGGTAGGGCCCACGGCCGGGAAGGGAAGCAGAGTGGGCGCCGAGGGACCCCCGCCTTGCCCGAAGCTTAGCTGTGGGGCTTGGGAAGTGGGATCAGCCGGGGTGAGACGGCGAGGGCCGAGAGGGAGTTGATTCGGGTTGCTCCCCCTTGCGAGGGGTGCACCCCGCTCACCGTTCCTATGGGAAGCGCCCGTGTGGCCGACAGGGTGTGTGCCCTGTGCCGGGCGGGAGGCACCTGGGGTGGAACAGGGTTGGGGGCGGACTGACGAGGGGGGTTGGGCAAGAGCCGCCCCTCCTTGTGCTACCCAGGTCGAGGCGTCCGGCGCGACAGCCTGCGTGGGTGGGGAGGGGGAGGGAGCAACCTGCCCGGCTGTTGTTTGTGCTCCTGGCGCCGGCGCTAGGGCTGCTGAGGGAGAGCAAGGAAGGGTTGAGTCGACCAAGATATATCCGGCGAGCGGGCCATCATTGTCCGAGCCATCCTCGGCGGCCGCCTCCTGGGGCACACTCGGCTGTAAGGGGAGGGTGTGGGGGGAGAGGGAGTGGTGAGACTGCGTCCCGATCATTGGCTCGGGTGTACAGGGGTCCGCCAAAAACGCCAAGGCTCGGGCCGCCCCGCCCATAGCCCTGGGTTGTAGCCCACGGCGAGGGCCCTGCGCCGCTGGTGAAGCCCCTGCATGCATGGGATTGGGAGTAGGGGGTGGAAGGGGGGGACGGGGGACCGCAAGGGAAGTAGGGGGAGGAGGGGAAGGAGGGGGGGGGAGGGGGGAGATGGAGGGGGTGGGAGGGGATGAGACAGTCTCTTCCGGCCCAGGTGCTGCCCTGTGTCCGGCCTCCTTAGCCCTCGTCCCAGTTACTGCCTTACCTTCAGCCGCTCCGGCTGCTGTCTCTCTCACCACACCTCCTGCTGGAGCTGCCGCAGCTGCTGCCCTTCCTGCAGCGGCTCCCGCTGCCCTCTCCCGTGCAGCACCTCTTGCCGCTGCCCGTGTTGCTGCTGTTACTGCCTTCCCTGCTGCCGCCCCAGCTGCCCTTCCTGTTGCTGCCATCCCCGCAGCTACCCCGGCGGTTGTCTCCCCCGCGGCACGCCCTGCTGATCCTGCTGCTACCTTCCCTGCGGCCGCTTCCGCTGCTGCCCCCGGTGCGGCACCCCCTGCTGCCCCTTTTTCCGCTGACACCACCACAGCCGCCGCCGCCGCCGCTGCCGCCGCCGCCGCTGTCGCGGCCCTGCTAGCCGCTGCCTGCGAAACAGCGGGACCCATTGCTACTTTCCCTGCCGCTGCCCCCGCTGCTGCCTTCCCTGCCGCAGCACTTGCTGCTGGTTTCCCTGTGGCGCTCCCCCTGGCTGCCTTCCCCGCAGCGGCCCCTATCTCTGCCTCCTCCGCTGCTGCCGCTGCAGCTGCCAGACGTGCATACATCCCCCCCCCGGTAATAGCCCGTGCGAGAGCGCGTACAACAGCTCCCTTTCCTGCCTCCTCCGCCGTAGGTAGCCTTGCCGCTGCTGCCGCCTCCGGCGGCTCTCCTATCCCTGCCGCACCAGCAGCCGCCCCTGCACGTGCTCCTGTTGCTGCTGCTGCCGCTGCTGCTGCTGCTGCTGCCTCTGCCGTTGTCCCTGCCCCCGCCGCCTCAGCAGGGACTCCTTCATCTGCCTCCCCGGCAGCCACCCTGGCCGCTGCAGCGGCCCCAGCCATCACCGCCTCTGCGGCATCCCGAGCCCCGGTCGCTGCGCCCCTCGCAAGATCGGCTGCTGCTGCCTCCTCTGCGGTGGCAGCTCCAGCTCCTGCCGCTGTCGCCGCCTGCACCGCCGCTGCTCCCGCCTCTGCCGCCTCTGCAGGGGCGCCTGCTGTTGCTGCTGTCCCCAAATCCGCCCCGGCTGCCCCTGTGGCCCCTGCTGCTGCTGCCTCTGCCGCATCCCGAGCCCGAGCCCGAGCCGATGCACCTCTTGCATGATCCATTGCTGCCGCCTCCTCCGCGGAGGCCCCAGCTGTTGCCGCCGCTGCCCATGCTCCCGCTGCCACCGTCTCTGCTGCAGCCCCAGCTGTTGCTGCCGCCGCCGCGACCACCCCCCCGGCTGCTGCCAACTCTGGAGCGGCCCCACCCCCAGCGGCTGCTACCTCTGCAGGGTCTCCTTCTGCCGCCCCCGCTGCAGCTGGCCCAGGTGCCTGCGCCTCTGCCGGTGCTGGAGCTGCTGCCACTTCTGCAAAGACCTTTGCGGCAGCCCCCACAGCCGCCCCTCCCACCACGGCTGTCGTTCCTCCCCCTGCGGCTACAGCCCGTGCTGCTGCCGCCTCTGCAGCCGCCTTTTCCACCTTCCCCCATGCAGCCTCTCCTGCCTCCGCCTCTGCCATAGCAGCTTCCGCTGGAGTACCCCCTGCGGTGACTCCTGCGGCAGCCTCCTTTGCCGCGGTCCTGATGGCTCCCACTGTTGCAACCGCCCCTGCAGTTGCCACACCTGCAGCCTCTCCTGCTGCTGCCTCCGGCGCCGCACCACATGCGGCCATGGACTGCGCATAGGCCCGGGTCATACCCTCTAATGCTGCCCTCTCTACCCCAGCCCGTGCCACCTCCCCCTCCGCCTCCGCTCCAGCTGCCGCTCCTGCCAACCCCACGGCTCCCGACGCTGGCTCCCCTGCTGAGGACACGGCCTCGAGCCTGGCTGCACTAGGAGCGGGTGCTATGAGCTCAACTACGTCCTCATCCGAGTCCTCGGCGCCCTCCAAAACCCAATCCGAGTCCTTCGCGTTGTCCCCATCCGAGTCCCCGGCCTCGTCCCACTCTGAGTCCTCACCAGCCCCCACCGTCTCTGCCGATCTTTCCCCCTCCGCCCTCTCCGTCACCCCCACTTTCACCTCCCACACCCCCATCTCTGCTGCCACCTCTGCAGGACCCCCCGGTGCTGCCGCATCCCCCTCCCCTGCCACAGGCCCTGCTGCGGCCTCACCTGTGCCAGCCTTGCTACCTGTGGCCATGGGTGTGGAGGAGGTGGGGGCTCTCCTGGCGCTAGTGTTGGCCTGTGGGAGTGGCGGAGGGGGGGCAGATGACTTTTTGCGACCATGGGAGCGCGAGCGTGTGGCTTCGCGCTCCTGCTTCTCCAGGCGTGAGGCGGGGCCTTCCTCTGCCTTCTCCCGTGGTCGTTTCCGGCCTCGCGAGGCAGAGCGCACCTGGTCCCCGCCCTTGCCGACGGTCACCTCGACGCGGGCTGGCGGGGCGATACTGTTGGGTGGGGGGATGGAAGACGATGAGTAGGGGGAAGGGCGGCCACCGGCTCTGCCTGACCGTCGGAGAGCACCGGGGCCGCCCTCCCCCGCATTGCAGGGGGTGTGGGTCATGGCCACGGGGACTGCATGCTAGAAGAGGGGGAGGAGGGGGAAGCAGGGGGGGAAGGGAGGGAGGAAAACAGCGGGGAAAGAAGGTGAGATCAGAGAAACTGCGTGGAGTGGGGAGGGGGACAGGGGGGGGAGGATAGGGAGAGAACAGGGGGCGGCGGTTAGAGGAGGGTTATGGCGCTCGACTGTGGGGAGACGTACGGGGTGAAGGTGGGGAAACGGGGATAGGACAAGATGGAAAGAAACAGCCTGCAGGGACAGGGGGAACTGGAAGGAGAGGAGGGGGAGGAGTGAAGAGCACCGGGTGTGGGGCGGGACGATTTCGGGGGTGGAAACTGACGTGTGAGTTGGTGGGAGCAAGGAGGGGAAAATCAGAGGGCGAGGGGCGGAAAAGCAGCGAGGAAGAGGGAGAAAACGCACTGGGCAAAAGAGGCGAAGAGCAGTGGGCAAGGGGGGGAAATCAGTGGGCCAGGGGGAAGGTCAGTGGGCAGCGGGGGAAGAGTAGAGGGCAGGGCGGGGAACAGCAGTGGGCAATGGGGAGGAAGGGGGTGGGCAAGGAGGGGAAAGGCAGTGGGCAATGGGGGGAGGAATGGTGGGCGAGGGGGGAAAAGCAGTGGGCAATGGGAGAAAAGTAGTGGGCTAGGGGGAAGGGAGGGGGAAACAAGGGGAAAAGAGTGGAAAGCAGGATAGAATACGAGGGGGAAACAACGGGGGACAGTAGGGGAGAGCGGGCGGGGATAAGAGTGGGGGAACCAAGGGGGGAAAGGGGGGAGGAACACGAAGAAAATGGGGGAAAGCAGGGGGGAAGTGGGTAATCAAAGGAGAGGGTCGGGAGTGGAGAGAGGACCGGAGGATGGGTGGGACCCAAATGGGCAGCAAAACGGGCAGGGGGGGAAGAACAGCGGGGAGGCGGGGGGAAAGCAGCGGGAACACAGGGGGGGGGGGGAAGCAACGGGCCAGGGGGGGAATGGCGGCGGGCAAGGGAGGAGAAGCAGCGGACCAGGGGGAAAAGCAGCTGGCAATGGGCGAATAACAGTGGGCAAGGGGGGGAAAGCAGGGGCAAGAGAGGGTAAAGCAGCGGGCAAGGGGGGAGAATCAGCGGGTAAGGGGGGAAGACGAGCGGCAAAGGGGGAAAAGCAACAGGCAAGGGGGGGGAAAGGCAACGGGCAAGGGTGGGAAAGGCAACGGGCGAGCAACAGGCCAGTGGGAAAAGCAACAGGCCAGGGGGAAAAGCAGCGGGTAATGGGGGGAAAATAACAGCGGGCAATGGGGGGAAAGGCAGGGCCAAGGGAGGGGAAGGCAACGGGCAAAGAGGGGAAAACAGCGGGCAAGGGGTGGGACAAGCGGCGGACAAGGGGGGGGATAACCGCGGGCGAGGGGGGGAAAAGCAGGGGCAAGGAAGGGAAAAGCAACTGGCGAGAGTAGAAGAGCAAGCGGGCAAGGGGGAAAAAGCGGCGGCAAGGGGGGAGAAGCAGCGGGCACGTGAGGAAAGGCAGCAGGGAAAAGTAGCAGCGGGCAGTGAGGGGGAACGATACTGGACCAAAGTGGGGGGCAAGGAGGGGAATGGCAGTGGGCACGGGGGAAAAGCAATGGGCACGGGGGGGAAACGCGTGGGCCGGGAGAGAAAATGTGTGGGTAAGTGCGTAGAGTTAGTGGGCAAGTAGGGACAAGCAGTGGGCAAGGAGGGGGAACAGCAGTGGACAAGGAGGGGGAAGAGTAGTGGGCACGGGGGGAGGGATGGGGAAAACGGAGGGCAGACTCCTGGGAAACAGTGGGGGGAGATATCACAAAACCGGGAAGAGGGGTGGGGGAGACAGGGAGGTACTAGGGGGAAACTGGAGGGGGTATATGGGGAAGCCTGGTGGGGAAAAAGGGGGGGAGACCTGGGGGGGAGTGGGGGAAGCCGGGGAGCAGCGGGCAGGGAAGCGGGGGAGCAGCGGGCAGGGAAAGTGGGGGGAGCAGTGGGCAGGGAAAGTGGGGGGGAGCAGCAGGCAGGGAAACGGGAGAGCAGCGGGCAGGGAAGCGGGAGAGCGGCGGGCAGGTGAAGTGGGGAAAAGCAGAGGCTAGGGGGGGGGGGGGGAGGATAGCAGCGAGGCAAAGAAGGGGGGAAAAGCAGCGGGCGAAGGGGGGAAAAGCAGCAGAACAGGGGGGAAAAGCAGCGGACAAGGGGGGAATAACAGCGGGCAAGGGGGCTAAGGCAGGGGCAAGGGACTGAAAAACAACGGGCAAGGGGGAGAAAATCGGCGGGCAAGGGGGGAAGAGCAGTGGGCAGAGGGGGGAGAAACAGCGTCCGTGGGGGGAATAGCAGCGGGTAAGGGGGGAAGAGCAAGGGCGAGTGAGGGAAAGGCAACGGGCAAGGGGGAAAAAGGCAACGGGCAAGGGGGGAAAAGCAGCGGGCAAGTGGGGGAAAACAGCTCAGCACCGTGCATTGGGGGGACAATGAGCGGCACAGGGTGAAAGACAGCGGGCAGGCGAGGGAAAAACTGCGGGCTAGGAGGGACAGAGCAGTGGCTTGGGGGGGGAAGCCATGGACAAGGGGGGAAAAGCAAGAGGCAAAGGGGGGGAAAATCGGCGACAAGGGAGGGAGAGTAGAGGCAAGGGGGGGGAAGCGGCGGCAAAAAAGGGGAGAAACAGCGAGCTAAGGAGGGGGAACAGCAGCGGGCGAGAGGGAGGAGCAGCGGGCGAGGGGGAGAAAGCAACGGCAAGGGGGAAGCGGCGGGCAGAGGGGGGAGAAGTACCGGGCGGGGGTGGAAAAGCAGCGGGGAACGTGGGGAAAGGCAGCGGCAGGGGGGGAAACGGCGAGCTGTGGAGCCGGGGAAGCGGCGAGCTGGGGGGAAGGGGGCAGCGGCGAGTTGGACAGAGGGCGAGGTGGCGAGCTGGGGAGAGGGAGAAATTGCGAGCCGGGGGAAAGGGGAAAGCGGCAAGCTAGGCAGGGGGGGAAATGGCGAGCAGGGGCAGAGGGGACGTTGAGCAGGGAAAGGGGGGAACGGCGAGCAGGGAAAGGGGGGGACGGCGAGCTGGGAACGGGGGGGACGGCGAGCTGGGAAAGGGGGGAACGGCGAGCAGGGAAAGGGGGGATGGCGAGCTAGGGAAGGGGGGGACGTCGAGCTGGGAAGGGGGGGGACGTCGAGCTGGGAAAGGGGGGAACGGCGAGCAGGGAAAGATATTTTTTGCTCCAAACTGCCCGGGAAATTTAAAAAAAAAAAAAAAAAAAAATTGCCATCCTGAAGGGGGTCGGGCCACGGAGGAGCCCTCAAACCATCTTAGCGGCGTTCCGGGGGGTGCGGGCAGACAGAGGATCCCTTTTGGCTCGTGCCGGGGCGATGTGACTATAATGAAGGGTAGTGTAGCTCGGGGGCCACCTGGAAGTGAGCGCCCCGTGCACCCAGCGTGGTACGATCATACCTTGGCTACTACGCCGGATCCCATCAGAACTCCGAAGCTAAGTCAGTGGGCGAGAGCAGTACTGGGCTGGGTGACCTCCCGGGAAGTCCTCGTGTCGTACCCATTTGTTATGCCAGCTCTCTTGCGGGGGGTGGACAGGGGAAAGAAGAAAGGATATTTTTTGCGCCAAACTGCCTGGAAAAAAAAAAAAAAAAAAAAAAAAAAAATGCCATCCTGAAGGGGGTTGGGCCACGGAGGAGCCCTCAAACCATCTTAGCGGCGTTCCGGGGGTGCGGGCAGACAGAGGATCCCTTTTGGCTCGTGCCGGGGCGATGTGACTATAATGAAGGGTAGTGTAGCTCGGGGGCCACCCGGAAGTGAGCGCCCCGTGCACCCAGCGTGGTACGATCATACCTTGGCTACTACGCCGGATCCCATCAGAACTCCGAAGCTAAGCGCCAGTGGGCGAGAGCAGTTATTTTATTAATAACAAAGAGAGTTACAAGTCATATAGCCAATATGAAACCGAAGTTGGAAATTTCGGCATGAATGTTACGCTATACGACCACAGTAATGTTTTTGGAAGTTAGGAAGAGAAGGGAAAGAAGAGAAGAGAAAGTAGAGAGGAAAAGAAGAGAAGGGAAGGTAGAAAGAGAGGGAAAGAATGAGAAGGATAGAAGAAGTAGGAGGATCAAGAAAGATAAGAGTAAGGGAAAAGAAAGGGGGAGGTGAGAGAGGTGGAAGAGAGGAGGGGTGTGACTGTAAGGAGGGAGGGGTCCAAGGGACACGACAAAGCAGCAACCCGCGCCTACAGCGCAGACACAGCGTTTCAAGCACAGCCTACTCTTGTTTTCATCTACACATAGCCATCAAACAGGTACTGCATATCGGCCACACTGTCAAAGCAGCCACTGATGTGATGTCCGCTCCAGCTGCCTGCGCCAAGCGGTACCGGTATCGGCATCCATGCATCGTCCGACTCTCCCAGCTGTCGCACTGCATGCTGTGTGATAATGTTCGCCTGCGCACGCTGCAGCGCCACTGAAACCCGCGTGGTGAGAGCGCACTCAAAGATCCGCGCCGATGCCTCCTCCCCACTACCTGCGTCCCGCCGCTGCGTCGCTATGCGCTGTGAGCAGAGCCCCAGAAAATCTCGCAGTGGCACGCTCAAGTGCCCGAAAGTCTCAGCAACGCACGCATAGAACATCGGCTCCGGCTGCACTCCTACCAAGGCCGACCGCCAGTCCCTGATCTTCTCCTGCACCCGCCTCGTCGCCGCCACCCCCCGCTGTGTGGATGCCGCTCGCCGAAACTGTGCGTTCCCACCCCGCTGTGGATCCGCTATCGACACGTCTATAATAATCATGAGTGCCTTCTCAGCGTCGCGGCATGTGAGGTCGGGGATGCGTGCGGGTGCTCCTGCGCGGCCTGCGCGTCCGGCTGTGCTGTGCTGCAGTGTGGGCTGCTGCCTAGTCGTGTCCTGTGGTCCCCCTCCTCCTTGTGCCATTGTCCCCCCTCATCCTCCTCTCTCACCCTCCCTTCCCTTTCCCTTGCCCCTACCCCTCCCAACCCCCCTGCCTCTCCTATCCCCTCCCCCAGACCCTCTCCATCTACCTGCCCCGCTCCTCCCGTCCTCCCCACTCCCTCGCCCCCCCCCGTCCCCCCTGCTATCCCCCCTCCCCGTGCCACTCTCTCGCCCTCCTGTGCCCCTGTCCCCTGGCGGGGATCAAGCTCCACACCCCCTCTGGCCCCTCTAGCTGCCTCTGGCCCGTCCGGTGCTCGGTCCCCTGCTATCTGACCCCCTCCCTCGACCATGACTATCTCCTCGATCTCCTCCCCCCCACCACCCTGTGGTCGGGCTGCCCCCCCTCTCCTGCGGTACCCTGAGTCCTTTCCCCCCGAGCCCCATCCGCCCTTCCCCCTTCCTGAGCCCCCCGTCTCCCTCGCCCCAGGCGCCTCCCCTGGCCCTCCCTCAGCTGCGGCTGCTGCGGCTGTACCGTCCCACCGTGTGAAACGGGCTGTCCCTGTGGCCGTGGCCCCTGTCCAAGGACTCCCGCCTCTGTCCCCCGCGTCTGCGGCACCAGCCGTGCCTGCTGTCCCGACTGTCCCGGCAGTCCCCACACTCCCTGCTGTCCTGGTGCTCCCCCCCCTCCCTCGTGTCCCTCCCCCCCACCCTGCTGCCCCTCCCCCCCTCCTTGCTGTCCCTCCCCCCCACCCTGCTGTCCCTCCCCCCCTCCCTGCTGTCCCTCCCCCCCTCCCTGCTGTCCCTCCCCCCTCCCTGCCGTCCCTCCTCCCCTCCCTGGGCCCTCTGTGCCCCCCGTCCTGTCCGAGTCCGTCCCTGTGCCAGCGTAGGCCCTCCCGCCTGTGCCCCCTCCCGCTGCTGCTGGGCTGTCAAGCGCCGTCGCACCTCCTCCAGGTGTGGGATGAGCGCCGTGTCCTCCACCCTGACCGCGAAACCCGCCTCGCGCGCGATGTCGCGAAGGACGTACTTCACGGCGTTGTGGACGGTCGTGGTGACGTGGTAGTGCTGACAGCGTACGACGTGGTGGGGCACCGACATGTCCTCGATCTCCCGTCCGCACGAGCAATGACCTGTAAGGGCTAACTGGGGGATAGACAGACCAAGGCGAAAACATGAAGCCACCTGCCACTGCGCCTCCGGGATGCGCAGTGGATCTGCATAAGGGACCGCCGTGAGCCACGCGCCTGCATCTGCGCCCTGAAGGGATGTCAAACGGGCAAGATGCAAAGGGTCAGTGTGACGTCCACGAACGGACTCTAATGCCGCCGCCTCTAGGTGCCGACTCACCTCAGAAAACAGACCGTCCGGCGCGCTCGAGATGCAAGAGGACAGGGGTGGCAGCAAGGCCCGGACTGACGGTGGAAGGTCTGCCAAAGCCGTCGCGATGTGGGGATCGATCCCTGCGGGGTCCTCCGCCGCGAGCGCCCGTCTGAAGGACTCACCGATCTGTGGGAGGGAGCAGAGGATGGGGGCGCACTGCGCCCAGGAGCAGAGGTAGCTCGCTGGCGCCGCGCGCGCCATGCGGCGGATGCCGAATCCGCCCAGCCTAATGGGCAGAAATGCCTGGTCCAAGGCCGCGCCGCGTATCTCTCCTCCTCCGCTCCAGGTGCCCGCGACGAATAGCCGCTGGAAGGCCTCGCCGAGGCCATCGTCCCAGCGTGCGAAGATGGAGCGCACCGCCTGTGTGGGCGGGACCGTGCGCGCTAGGTACTGAGGGCGCGTGCTGACGCATGCTGAGAGCAGGTGCGCAGCCACCTGGGGGTCACGCAACCTAGGCAGCCACGGCAGCACTCGGGCCATCCGCTCCAGGCGCTCCCTGAGTCTCGTGTGGACGAAATCCTCCGTGCCGACAGGCACCCCCGCAACCGTCAAACCCCGGCGCGCGACATCGAGGCCGAGGGCGGTGAAGCCTGCCAACTCCTCCGGTCGTGTGGACGCCGCTGGGTAGACCAGGCACTTGTGCGGCTGGACCGAGAGGCCCAGCTCGCCCAAGCGCCTCTGAATGGCAGTGAAGCTCTGCAACACCCTCTCTGGTGTGCCCAGGACGTACGTGTCATCCGCGTATGACCACAGCTGCACGTCCCCGTCCGCCAGCACTGGCTCCAGTGCCAGCCTCTGTGTCAGGGCAAAGAGAAATGGGCTCAGAGGGTCGCCCTGACGAGATCCTCGCTCTGAGCGGATGGTGGTGACTCCTCGCCCGGTCCGAAAGAACAGCGAGGATGGCGTGCCGTAGAAAAGGGCAACGAAAGGGATGAGGCAGCGAAACTCGGAGCTCGCTCGCAGTGCCTCGAACAAGCGATCGCGGTGATACGAGTTAAAGGCGTTCGCCACGTCGAGCTCGACGACCACCCAGTCCGGGTGGTCCGCCCTGCCGCGACGGACGCCCCTAACGACCAGCTCAGTACCGCAGGTCACCCCGACCCCGAACTGCTGTGATGGTAGAAAGACTCGAGCCATCGGCTCGCGCAACTGCAGGCATGCCGCCCGCTGGAGTAGGCGCGCAAGGACCTCGCCTATGGCTATCGGCCGAACGTCCATGTTCGGCTTGGAGAGCGCGACGAGGGTGGATGATGCCAGCATGGGAAGTGCGGCCGGGGCGCAGTCGCCCCGGAGCCACTGCTGGTAGACAGCAAGCAAGGTAGGGAGGGCCTTCGGGAAGGCCAAGAAGGTGTCGCGGAAGTGCTCGGCCACCCATCCCGAAGGTCCTCCCGAAGAGCCCCTCGGAGCGGTGAAAATGGCCCTGCGCAGATGCTCAATGCTCAGGACCAGGGCTGCATCCCGGAAGGAGGCCACCCATGCTGGGATGGGGCGCTCCGCGCAAGGGTGCTTCGCCCGTAGGCGGTGCACCGTCTGATCTCCGTCCGGGGCCGCCTCTGCCGACTCCAAGGCCGCACAAGCACGTGACGTCTCATTGCACGCTGCCAGGCGGAGGCAACGGGCAATGCGGCGCTCGTCAGGCGTCGGAGTCGCGGCGCGGGCGCGGCGTGTCGTGCATGCCGCGAGGGGTGTGCGGCGGTGGAGCGCCTCTGCTATGAGGGCGTCCCAATCTCCACCAAGGAAGCGCGCAATGCGCGCAGTGATGGCCGCCGTATGTGATCGTGCAGGTGGTGTAGCGGCGTGAGGAGGAGGGTCGGGATGGCCAACAGCAGAAACGTCGGCCCGCCCGCCCTGGGGTGCTGGCTGATGCGCTGCAAGATCGCGCAGAGGACATCCACGTACCCCCCGCGAACCCTCGGCGGGATACGCCGGAGCGGGCGAGCATGCATGCGTCTCGGTGAGAAATAATCCGTCCAATCGACCGCATCCAAGGACGACCACTGGACGTCCGAGAATGTGACGACGGAGGCGCGTGGCTCGCTGAATGAGGGAGGGGAAGAGGTGGCATCCTGCAGGGCCTCCGCCCTGCGTAGAGCATCGGCGGGCTGGCAATGGGGTGCATGGAGAGCAAGAGCGTGGCTGCTCACCAAGGTGCTCCGGCAGGTAGGACACGTGACCGCTAGTCCTCCTGTCGGCACCGCTGTGTCGTGCGGGGGGACTGGCATCGTGCTCTCCGAGCTATCAGCGCCGACGACCGCCTCTTCGATGGGCCCCTGTCCGAGGTCGGTGGCCCAAGTGGGGGGCGGGCCGTGCGTCTGGGGCGGGCAAGGCAATGGCCGGGGGGGAGGAGCGACGGCGGGATGCGCGGGCGTGGGTGAGGATGGTACGACCAAGGGGACAGTGCCAGGGCGGGGCATGCGTCGGATGGCAGGCTAGCTCAGTGGCCTCGCCGGGGGACGTAGGAGCTGGGGTGTGGGCAGCTGGAGCAGTGGACGCATCTGGGCAGAGGGGGTGGTCGGGGGCCGCGTCGGAGTCATCGATCACCATGCGCTCCGGTGTGAGGGCGGTGGACGGGGGGGAAGGGGGGGCATGGGAGATGTCTGGAGCAGGGTCCACGGTGCCCCCCCCCACCCGACCCGGACAAGCGGGCGCAGAGGGGGTGGCGGACGCGTCCCATATCCTGAGAAGGTCGGCAACTGCCGCCTCCGTCTCCCCATCTGCCCCCTGCGACTGTCCGCCTGTGGGTAGGGGGAGCAGGGCAGGCTGGTTGGTCGTGGTGGGCGAACCACCGTGGGCCCTGACCTGGGTCGGAGGTTGTGGACCGGAGGGGGACAAAGAAGCGGGTGGTGGGGACCGACGCTGGGGGGGGATATAGGCTTGCTTGCGAGAGGCTAACGACCCTCTTCCGCCTCGGTTCGATTTCCATCGCGGATGGGGCATCGGCGGCGACGTCTGGTGGGGGGCCAAGGGCGGGATGGGGGGGTGACAGGGGAGTGGGCCTGGGTGGGGTGAGGGAGGGAGACCGTCCGAAGCTCGCCATCCTGGTTATGGGAGGGCAGTGGGTGGCAGGCCGGGGGCAATGATGGGGTCGCCTGAGGGGTGGTGGATGGTAAGGGCTGCACGCCAGCAGAGGGTGGAGTCGTGTCCGGCTGCTCCGAGCGCCGGGCTGCCCCGGGTGTCCCCGTGCCCTTGCCCTTCTTCCGGCGACCTGTGTGGGGTTGGGCAAACTGTCCAATCAGCGGCTGCCGTGTGACCGCCCCCTGCTGTGGGTGAGGAGTGTGAGAATGGGGCAGCTGGGAGGGTGAGGGGGTGTGGCCGCCGATGGCCGCTTGCCGCGATGGGTTAGCCTGCGCATGGATGGCGGCCTGCCCTGGGGCGGGTGCAGATGGGGACAGGGGGGAAAGTGAGGGGTGGTGGCGGTGGTGGAATCGGCAGCACCGTCCGAATGGCCCCGCCCTCCCCCGACACCTTCCCCGTCCCCTTCCCCCTGGGCGTCTGCCGATATCGCTGCCTGTGCGGAGCGACGGTAAGGGGGGATGTAGGGTTGGGAGGAGACATCATGCAGGTCCCCTACTCCTGTTTTGTCGACGTCCATCGCGGATGGGTGGCTCGCTGCGACCACCTGAATACTGACGGGCAAGGAGTGTGTGGGGCAGGAAGGGGGAGGGTGAGATGGGGGGGCCGCCCTCGCCTCGCCCCTGTTCGCGCTGATGGGTCGGGCGGGAGTAGGGGGGCAGGGCAAGAGAGGTGGTTGGGCAGTAGGGTAAGGGTTAAGCGCGGGTGGGACGCTCAATGGAGGGGGTGGGAAGGGTGGGTGCCCCAGCGCTGGGCTGGAGGGTGTGTGGGACGGAAGTGACAAGGGAGGGCCCAAGAGGGAGGCACTCCCGTGGTCGCCTGCCGTGCGGGACATGAAACCTGGGGGCTGCACGAAAGGGCGCGAGGGGAGTTCCGGCTGGATTGCCGGGGAAAGGGGGCGGGTGGGATGTGTGGGAGAGGGAGGGGGGGGGCGGGGCGCGGGCAAGGTAGGGCCCACGGCCGGGAAGGGAAGCAGAGTGGGCGCCGAGGGACCCCCGCCTGGCCCGAAGCTTAGCTGTGGGGCTTGGGAAGTGGGATCAGCCGGGGTGAGACGGCGAGGGCCGAGAGGGAGTTGATTCGGGTTGCTCCCCCTTGCCGGGGGTGCACCCCGCTCACCGTTCCTATGGGAAGCGCCCGTGTGGCCGACAGGGTGTGTGCCCTGTGCCGGGCGGGAGGCACCTGGGGTGGAACAGGGTTGGGGGCGGACTGACGAGGGGGGTTGGGCAAGAGCCGCCCCTCCTTGTGCTACCCAGGTCGAGGCGTCCGGCGCGACAGCCTGCGTGGGTGGGGAGGGGGAGGGAGCAACCTGCCCGGCTGTTGTTTGTGCTCCTGGCGCCGGCGCGAGGGCTGCTGAGGGAGAGCAAGGAAGGGTTGAGTCGACCAAGATATATCCGGCGAGCGGGCCATCATTGTCCGAGCCATCCTCGGCGGCCGCCTCCTGGGGCACACTCGGCCGTAAGGGGAGGGTGTGGGGGGAGAGGGAGTGGTGAGACTGCGTCCCGATCATTGGCTCGGGTGTACAGGGGTCCGCCAAAAACGCCAAGGCTCGGGCCGCCCCGCCCATAGCCCTGGGTTGTAGCCCACGGCGAGGGCCCTGCGCCGCTGGTGAAGCCCCTGCATGCATGGGATTGGGAGTAGGGGGGGGAAGGGGGGACGGGGGACCGCAAGGGAAGTAGGGGGAGGAGGGGAAGGAGGGGGGGGGAGGGGGGAGATGGGGGGGTGGGAGGGGATGAGACAGTCTCTTCCGGCCTAGGTGCTGCCCTGTGTCCGCCTCCTTAGCCCTCGTCCCAGTTACTGCCTTACCATCAGCCGCTCCGGCTGCTGTCTCTCTCACCACACCTCCTGCTGGAGCTGCCGCAGCTGCTGCCCTTCCTGCAGCGGCTCCCGCTGCCCTCTCCCGTGCAGCACCTCTTGCCGCTGCCCGTGTTGCTGCTGTTGCTGCCTTCCCTGCTGCCGCCCCAGCTGCCCTTCCTGTTGCTGCCATCCCCGCAGCTACCCCGGCGGTTGTCTCCCCCGCGGCACGCCCTGCTGGTCCTGCTGCTGCCTTCCCTGCAGCCGCTTCCGCTACTGCCCCCGGTGCGGCACCCCCTGCTGCCCCTTTTTCCGCTGACACCACCGCAGCCGCCGCCGCCGCCGCTGCCGCCGCCGCCGCTGTCGCGGCCCTGCTAGCCGCTGCCTGCGAAACAGCGGGACCCATTGCTACTCTCCCTGCCGCTGCCCCCGCTGCTGCCTTCCCTGCCGCAGCACTTGCTGCTGGTTTCCCTGTGGCGCTCCCCCTGGCTGCCTTCCCCCAGCGGCCCCTATCTCTGCCTCCTCCGCTGCTGCCGCAGCAGCTGCCAGACGTGCATACATCCCCCCCCGGTAATAGCCCGTGCGAGAGCGCGTACAACAGCTCCCTTTCCTGCCTCCTCCGCCGTAGGTAGCCTTGCCGCTGCTGCCGCCTCCGGCGGCTCTCCTATCCCTGCCGCACCAGCAGCCGCCCCTGCACGTGCTCCTGTTGCTGCTGCTGCCGCTGCTGCTGCTGCGCCTCTGCCGTTGTCCCGCCCCCGCCGCCTCAGCAGGGACTCCTTCGTCTGCTTCTGCTTCCCCGGCAGCCACCCTGGCCGCTGCAGCGGCTTCAGCCATCACCGCCTCTGCGGCATCCCGAGCCCCGGTCGTTGCGCCCCTCGCAAGATCGGCTGCTGCTGCCTCCGCTGCGGTGGCAGCTCCAGCTCCTGCCACTGTCGCCGCCCGCACCGCCGCTGCTCCGCTCTGCCGCCTCTGCCGCCTCTGCAGGGGCGCCTGCTGTTGCTGCTGTCCCCAAATCCGCCCCGGCTGCCCCTGCGGCCCCTGCTGCTGCTGCCTCTGCCGCATCCCGAGCCCGAGCCCGAGCCCGAGCCGATGCACCCCTTGCATGATCCACTGCTGCCGCCTCCTCCGCGGAGGCCCCAGCTGTTGCCGCCGCTGCCCATGCTCCCGCTGCCACCGTCTCTGCTGCAGCCCCAGCTGCTGCTGCCGCCGCCGCGACCACCCCCCCGGCTGCTGCCAACTCTGGAGCGGCCCCACCCCCAGCGGCTGCTACCTCTGCAGGGTCTCCTTCTGCCGCCCCCGTTGCAGCCGGCGCAGGTGCCTGCGCCTCTGCCGGTGCTGGAGCTGCTGCCACTTCTGCAAAGGCCTTTGCGGCAGCCCCCACAGCCACCCCTCCCACCACGGCTGTCGTTCCTCCCCCTGCGGCTACAGCCCGTGCTGCTGCCGCCTCTGCAGCCGCCTTTTCCACCTTCCCCCATGCAGCCTCTCCTGCCTCCGCCTCTGCCATAGCAGCTTCCGCTGGAGTACCCCCTGCGGTGACTCCTGCGGCAGCCTCCTTTGCCGCGGTCCTGATGGCTGCCACTGTTGCAACCGCCCCTGCAGTTGCCACACCTGCAGCCTCTCTTGCTGCTGCCTCCGGCGCCGCACCACATGCGGCCATGGACCGCGCATAGGCCCGGGCCATACCCTCTAATGCTGCCCTTTCTACCCCAGCCCGTGCCACCTCCCCCTCCGCCTCCGCTCCAGCTGCCGCTCCTGCCAACCCCGCAGCTCCCGTCGCTGGCTCCTCTGCTGAGGACACGGCCTCGAGCCTGGCTGCACTAGGAGCGGGTGCTATGAGCTCAACTACGTCCTCATCCGAGTCCTCGGCGCCCTCCAAAACCCAATCCGAGTCCTTCGCGTTGTCCCCATCCGAGTCCCCGGCCTCGTCCCACTCTGAGTCCTCACCAGCCCCCACCGTCTCTGCCGATCTTTCCCCCTCCGCCCTCTCCGTCACCCCCACTTTCACCTCCCACACCCCCATCTCTGCTGCCACCTCTGCAGGACCCCCCGGTGCTGCCGCATCCCCTCCCCTGCCAGAGGCCCTGCTGCGGCCTCACCTGTGCCAGCCTTGCTACCTGTGGCCATGGGTGTGGAGGAGGTGGGGGCTCTCCTGGCGCTAGTGTTGGCCTGTGGGAGTGGCGGAGGGGGGGCAGATGACTTTTTGCGACCATGGGAGCGCGAGCGTGTGGCTTCGCGCTCCTGCTTCTCCAGGCGTGAGGCGGGGCCTTCCTCTGCCTTCTCCCGTGGTCGTTTCCGGCCTCGCGAGGCAGAGCGCACCTGGTCCCCGCCCTTGCCGACGGTCACCTCGACGCGGGCTGGCGGGGCGATACTGTTGGGTGGGGGAATGGAAGACGGTGAGTAGGGGGAAGGGCGGCTCCCGGCTCTGCCTGACCGTCGGAGAGCACCGGGGCCGCCCTCCCCCCCATTGCAGGGGGTGTGGGTCATGGCCACGCGGACTGCATGCTAGAAGAGGGGGAGGAGGGGGAAGCAGGGGGGGAAGGGAGGGAGGAAAACAGCGGGGAAAGAAGGTGAGATCAGAGAAACTGCGTGGAGTGGGGAGGGGGACAGGGGGGGGAGGATAGGGAGAGAACAGGGGGCGGCGATTAGAGGAGGGTTATGGCGCTCGACTGTGGGGAGACGTACGGGGGGAAGGTGGGGAAACGGGGATAGGACAAGATGGAAAGAAACAGCCTGCAGGGACAAGGGGAACTGGAAGGAGAGGGGGGGGAGGAGGGAAGAGCACCGGGTGTGGGGCGGGACGATTTCGGGGGTGGAAACTGACGTGTGAGTTGGTGGGAGCAAGGAGGGGAAAATCAGAGGGTGAGGGGCGGAAAAGCAGCGAGGCAGAGGGAGAAAACGCAGTGGGCAAAAGAGGCGAAGAGCAGTGGGCAAGGGGGGGAAATCAGTGGGCCAGGGGGAAGGTCAGTGGGCAGCGGGGGAAGAGTAGAGGGCAGGGCGGGGAACAGCAGTGGGCAATGGGGAGGAAGGGGGTGGGCAAGGAGGGGAAAGGTAGTGGGCAATGGGGGGAGGAATGGTGGGCGAGGGGGGAAAAGCAGTGGGCAATGGGGGAAAAGTAGTGGGCTAGGGGGAAGGGAGGGGGAAACAAGGGGAAAAGAGTGGAAAGCAGGATAGAATACGAGGGGGAAACAACGGGGGACAGTAGGGGAGAGCGGGCGGGGATAAGAGTGGGGGAACCAAGGGGGGAAGGGGGGGAGGAACACGAAGAAAATGGGGGAAAGCGGGGGGGGAAGTGGGTAATCAAAGGAGAGGGTCGGGAGTGGAGAGAGGACCGGAGGATGGGTGGGACCCAAATGGGCAGCAAAACGGGCAGGGGGGGAAGAACAGCGGGGAGGCGGGGGGGAAAGCAGCGGGAACACAGGGGGGGGGGAAGCAACGGGCCAGGGGGGGAATGGCGGCGGGCAAGGGAGGAGAAGCAGCGGACCAGGGGGAAAAGCAGCTGGCAGTGGGCGAATAACAGCGGGCAAGGGGGGGAAAGCAGGGGCAAGAGAGGGTAAAGCAGCGGGCAAGGGGGGGAGAATCAGCGGGTAAGGGGGAAGACGAGCGGCAAAGGGGGAAAAGCAACAGGCAAGGGGGGGGAAAGGCAACGGGCAAGGGTGGGAAAGGCAACGGGCAAGCAACAGGCCAGTGGGAAAAGCAACAGGCCAGGGGGAAAAGCAGCGGGTAATGGGGGGAAAATAACAGCGGGCACTAGGGGGGGAAAGGCAGGGCCAAGGGAGGGGAAGGCAACGGGCAAAGAGGGGGCAGCGGGCAAGGGGTGGGACAAGCGGCGGACAAGGGGGGGGATAACAGCAGGCGAGGGGGGGAAAAGCAGGGGCAAGGAAGGGAAAAGCAACTGGCGAGAGTAGAAGAGCAGCGGGCAAGGGGGGAAAAGCGGCGGCAAGGGGGGAGAAGCAGCGGGCACGTGAGGGAAGGCAGCAGGGAAAAGTAGCAGTGGGCAGTGAGGGGGAACGATAGTGGGCAAAAGTGGGGGGCAAGGAGGGTAATGGCAGTGGGCACGGGGGAAAAGCAATGGGCACGGGGGGGAAACGCGTGGGCCGGGAGAGAAAATGTGTGGGTAAGTGCGTAGAGTTAGTGGGCAAGTAGGGACAAGCAGTGGGCAAGGAGGGGGAACAGCCGTGGACAAGGGGAGAAAGGCAGGGGGCAATCGGGGAGAAACAGTGGGCAAGGGGGGGGAGAAGCAGTGGGCAATGGGGGGGATAGTGGGCAAGGGGGAAGGGAGGGGAAACAGGGGGGAAGGAAAAGAAAGCAGGATAGAATACGAGGGTGGAGGCTGACGTGTGAGTTGGCGGGAGCAGGGAGGGGAAGGTCAGAGAGCAAGGGGCGGAAGAGCAGTGAGGAAAGGGGAGAAACGCACTGGACAAAAGGCGAAGAGCAACGAGTAAGGGGGGGAAATCAGTGGGCTAGGGGGGAAAGTCGGTGGGCAACAGGGGAAGAGTAGAGGACAAGGAGGGGAACAGCAGTGGGCAAGCGGGAAGGAGTGATGGGCAAGGGGGGAAAGGCAGTGGGCAATCGGGGAGAAACAGTGGGCAAGGGGGGGAGAAGCAGTGGGCAATGGGGGGATAGTGGGCAAGGGGGAAGGGAGGGGAAACAGGGGGAAAGGAGAAGAAAGCAGGATAGAATACGAGGGGGAAACAATGGGGGAAAGTAGGGGAGAACGGGAGGGGATACGAGTGGGGGAACCAGGGGGGGGAAGGGAGGGATGAGCACGAAGAAAATGGGGGAATGTGGGGGGGGAAGTGGGCAATCAAAGGAGAGGGTCGGGAGTGGAGGGAGGACCGAAGGATGGGTGGGACCAAATGGGCCGCAAAACGGGCAGGGGGGAAGAAGCAGCGGGCCAGAGGGGAATAGCAGTGGGCAAGGGGGGAGAAGCAGCGGACCAGGGGAAAAGCAGCCGGCAAAGGGCAGATAACAGCAGGCAAGGGGGGGGGGGGGGAGCAGGGGCAAGGGAGGGTAAAGCAACAGGCAAGGGGGGGAGAAGCAGCGAGCAAGGGGGGAAGAGCAGCGGCAAAGGGCTAAAAGCAGCGGGCAAGGGTGGGAAAGGCAACGGGCAAGGGGGGAGAAGCAGCAAGCGAGGGGGGGAAAGCGGCGGGCAAAGGGGGGAGCCACAGTGGGCAAGGGGGGGAAGAGCAGGGGCAAGGGAGGGGGGGCAACGGGCAAGGGGGGAATAGCAGCGGGCAAAGAAGGGGGGAAAAGCAGCGGGCGAAGGGGGGAAAAGCAGCAGAACAGGGGGGAAAAGCAGCGGACAAGGGGGGAATAACAGCGGGCAAGGGGGGTAAGGCAGGGGCAAGGGACTGAAAAACAACGGGCAAGGGGGAGAAAATCAGCGGGCAAGGGGGGAAGAGCAGTGGGCAGAGGGGGGAGAAACAGCGTCCGTGGGGGGGAATAGCAGCGGGTAAGGGGGGGAAGAGCAAGGGCGAGGGAGGGAAAGGCAACGGGCAAGGGGGAAAAGGGCAACGGGCAAGGGGGGAAAAGCAGCGGGCAAGTGGGGGAAAACAGCTCAGCACCGGGCATTGGGGGGACAATGAGCGGCACAGGGGGAAAGACAGCGGGCATGCGAGGGAAAAACTGCGGGCTAGGAGGGACAGAGCAGTGGCTTGGGGGGGAAAGCCATGGACAAGGGGGGAAAAGCAAGAGGCAAAGGGGGGGAAAATCGGCGACAAGGGAGGGAGAGTAGAGGCAAGGGGGGGTGAGTAGAGGCAAGGGGAGAAACAGCGAGCAAAGAAGGGGGAACAGCAGCGGGCGAGAGGGAGGAGCAGCGGGCGAGGGGGGGAAAGCAGCGGCAAGGGGGGGAAGCCGCGGGCAGAGGGGGGAGAAGTACCGGGCGAGGGTGGAAAAGCAGCGGGCAACGTGGGGAAAGGCAGCGGCAGGGGGGAAACGGCGAGCTGTGGGGCCGGGGAAGCGGCGAGCTGGGGGGAAGGGGGCAGCGGCGAGTTGGACAGAGGGCGAGGTGGCAAGCTGGGGAGAGGGGGAAACTGCGAGCTGGGGGGAGAGGGGGAAACTGCGAGCTGGGGAAAAGGGGAAAGCGGCAAAGCTAGGCAGGGGGGGAAATGGCGAGCAGGGGCAGTGGGGACGTTGAGCAGGGAAAGGGGGGAACGGCGAGCAGGGAAAGGGGGGGACGGCGAGCTGAGAAAAGGGGGGGACGGCGAGCTGGGAAAGGGGGGGGACGGCGAGCAGGGAAAGGGGGGGACGGCGAGCTGGGAAAGGGGGGGACGGCGAGCTGGGAAAGGGGGGAACGGCAAGCAGGGAAAGGTGGGGATGGCGAGCTGGAAAAGGGGGGGGGACGGCGAGCTGGGAAAGGGGGAACGGCGAGCAGGGAAAAGGGGGGATGGCGAGCAGGGAAAGGGGGGGACGGCGAGCTGGGAAAGGGGGGAACGGCGAGCTGGGAAAAGGGGGGGACGGCGAGCAGGGAAAGGGGGGGGACGGCGAGCTGGGAAAGGGGGGAACGGCGAGCTGGGAAAGGGGGGGACGGCGAGCAGGGAAAGGGGGAAACGGCGAGCAGGGAAAGGGGGGATGGCGAGCTGGGAAAGGGGGGGGGACGGCGAGCTGGGAAAGGGGGGAACGGCGAGCTGGGAAAGGGGGGACGGCGGGCAGGGAAGGGGGGGTAAGCCGAGCAGGGAAAGGGGGGGACGTCGAGCTGGGAACGGGGGGGACGGCGAGCTGGGAAAGGGGGGGGACGGCGAGCAGGGAAGGGGGGGGGATGGCGAGCTGGGAAAGGGGGGGGACGTCGAGCTGGGAACGGGGGGACGTCGAGCTGGGGACGGGGGGGAACGGGAGCAGGGAAAGGGGGGACGGCGGGCAGGGAAAGGGGGACGGCGAGCTGGGAAAGGGGGGGGACGGCGAGCAGGAAGGGGAACGGCGAGCTGGGAAAGGGGGGGACGGCGAGCAGGGAAAGGGGGGACGGCGGAGCTGGGAAAGGGGGGACGGCGAGCTGGGAGAAGGGGGGGACGGCGAGCAGGGAAAGGGGGAACGGCGAGCTGGGAGAGGGGGAGGCGGCGGCAGGGAAATGGGGGGGGCGGGCAGGGAAAGGGGGACGGCGAGCTGGGAATGGGGAACGGCGAGTAGGGAAGGGAGGACGGCGAGCAGGGGAAGAGGGCACACGGCGAGCAGAGGAAGAGGGGAAATGTCGAGCTGGGGGGAGGGAGAAACGGCGAGCTAGGGGGAAACGGCCCGCTGGACAGAGGGGGAAATGTCGAACTGTGAGAGGGAAACGGCGTGCTGGACAGAGGGGGAATGACGCGCGGCGGCGGGGGGAATGACGCGAAGTGGCAGTGGGATTGATGCCGGTGGCAGAGGGGAGTAAGGTTCTGG